ATTAACAAATCTTACAGCTTATCTTGAATCTAATTAGATGATTGCTTATTTTGGTATAGAATTTGAGAACCTTATAACAAGTTTTCACTTTAATCTATTAGTAGTCTATTCTATTTTTCAAGTGGCATTTCAGACAGCATTCAAAAAATTTGAATTACATATTTCAAATTATCCAACTTGTCTTTTATTTTATGTAACTCATATTTTTAATCCTAAATACATATATCTTGGAAATAATATTCAATGATATAGTATTTATCAATATTCAATTATTAAAGAACTTAATAATCCTTCTGATGATTTGTTATATAAATGGAATATTTATTGTAAATTGAAATTTGAAAAAAAATATAGAAAAAAATAAATTGGATGTTTATTGGAATAATTTAGCAATGTATTTACCAATTCTTTCTCAAATAGCATTGAATTATATTTGGTTATCTATATCAAGTTGTGCTATAGGATGTAATTTTTCTTTATATAATACTCTTCTAAATAATGATTATTAAAACTTATCAAAAGGATTACTTAAACAACTAAATATGATGTATTTTAATCAGGATGATTAAATTTAATTTTTTTTTTTATTAATTGTAAATAAAAATTATTATTAAAAATTTTCATATAATATCACAAAATATTATAAAAAATGTCACAAAATCATACAAAATCAATAAAAATTAGACCACAAAATATTATAAAAAATGCCACAAAATTATACAAAATCAATAAAAATTAGATCACAAAATAACACAAAATTGATTTACATCACACACAAAATTTACTTTATATTATCACAACAAAAATCATCTCTGATTAGTATCAGGTATTTTACCTGATATGGAATTTCCTAATTAATAACTGTATAATAATTAATTATTTTCAGTCTCAGATTTATTCGATCACAATTACTAATTAATTTATGATCTATAATAGAAGTGTACGTATATGACACATATTATATAGAATACTAAATAAATATAATGTAAAAAATCTCAAACATTATTTTGATATATTTTTATTATTATTTTCTTTACTAGTTTTTAACTTTACTACATAGCAACCTTAGATTTCAAGGAATTTTTATTATATTATTTCATTATTTCATAAGGGTTATTAAAATAGAATTTTTAGTTTTTATTAAAGCTAGATCACAAATTAGAGATCTATTAATATTAACAAAGCAATTATATATATAAATATATAAAGACAGATTTTTTTAATAATATATTTTCATAATATTTTCATTCATAATAACATTTAAAAAATACTTATATTCAATAGTGAATTTTTTTATGAGTTGTTGATTGGGCTCTTTCTTAGTTTTTTATTTTACTATAAAATTTATAAAAATCAGTTCTCTATTATAAATCAAAAAATTGATCAAATAATCGATAAAATAGAACTAAGAAAAAGCCAATTTAAAGATAAAATAAACAAACTTATTGATGATATAAAATACTTAAAAGAAATCGAACATTTATAAAAGGATTTCAAACAATTATTTGACAAAAAGACAAAATCAGATCCAAATTTTTCATTTAATGAAATGATTATTGAAATTCGTAAATTACTTGAAGAAGGAAAAAGTATTGCTACTTTTACAATAAAAAATTTCTACTAATAAAAAACAAATTCTAGAAGAAAAATAATAGAAGTAATTTAGGAGTAGATCAATAAGGAAAAGAAGAAAGAGGTGGAAAATGAAACTGAAGAAGATAATGAAAATGGAGAAAATACAAATATTAATAATAATATTATTGATAATAATAAAAATAATAGTAATAGTGATAGTTAAATTTTTTATTAAAGTACCTAAAGAATAGATAATACTTATAAATAGTTTTAGATCTGAGTATTTTTCTTCTATGCAAATGCTCTACAATTTTTTTTCTATTATAAGTTGAAAAATAAAAAATAATTTTCGTTTAATTCATAAATAAATTTCAAGTCATGTATTTCTAATTTATTATTAGTCAAATTATTTATAGAAAATAATAAAAAAATTTTTTTTTTTAAAAATTAATTTTAAATATTTTTTTTTTAATTTTAAAAAATAACATCTGTTAAAGAAATTAAACAAAAGTTGAAAGATACAAAAGAAAGATTGAGAATAGCAAAAGAGAACTTGAAAAAGTGGGAAGAGAGAGAGAATAGTAAGAAATGGTTAAAGAAATTGAGAGAAAAAATAAAAAGAAAAGAAGAACTTAATGAAAAGAAGAAGAAACAACTGGTAAGATTAGAGAAAAAAAAAAGAAGAGTTGGATGGAAAGAAGAAATTTTGGAAAGGAAAGATTAGTAAGTGGAGGGACAAGTTAACTAAGTTTAACAAAGGAGAAGGTAATGAATAAATTGTGTAAAAAAAAAAAATAATATTTTTTGTTCATTTCATTCATTTGTCTATGAGAATATTCGAACTACCAAACAATGATTAAGCATAAATTATTGAATTATATATATATTTATCAATTTCATTCAGATTTTAAAGAAAAGATGAAATAGGAAGATCTATCTGCAATTCTAAAATAGGTAAGGGAATATAGATCAAAAGAAATGAGACCATTAGAATTTATAGAATCATTTAGTGCTAAATTACCTTTCTTGCTTGTGAAAATGCTATAAATAATCTTTGAAATGATAGTAAAATTAATCCTAATGGTATTCTAAGCATTTCTACTGCTTTTTCAATAAATATGGTAATCATAATCTGCATCCAATTCCTTTTCTTGCCTTAGTCCTAGCATAGAGAAGAGTAGGTTTTTATAAGCGATTTATAATATTTTTTATAAAAAAGCTTAAAAATCAAAGAATGATGAAATTATATCTATTTTTAAAGATATTATCTATTTGAATGTTACATATAGTAATAGTTCAGTAGCTCAAGAATTAGATAAAAAAATTGGCAGAAAAGCTTCATTAACAATTTGGATTTTTTACAGCTACTTTATATATGGAAACAAAGATTTAGGTTATAATAGATTTAGATCTAAAATTACTAATGAAAATGTAAAATTTTTTAAATTTATCTCATGTTTTACAAGCCATTTATAAAGATAAAGTTAAGGAAAATAATTAAAAGTTAGTAATTGTAATTGGTATAGATCAAGGATAATATTTTGCTATGATTATATAAAGTAAATTTTGTATGTGATGTAAATCAATTTTATGTTATTTTGTGATCTAATTTTTATTAATTTTGTATGATTTTGTGACATTTTTTATAATATTTTGTGATATTATATGAAAATTTTTAATAACAATTTTTATTTATAATTAATAAAAAAAATTAAATTTAATAATTCTGATTAAAATACATCATATTTAGTTGTTTAAATAATCCTTTTGATAAGTTTTGACAATCATTATTTAGGAGAGTATTATATAAAAAAAAACTATAACTTACAGTACAACTTGATATAGGTAACCAAATATAATTCAATGTTATTTAAGAAAGAATTGGTAAACACGTTATTAAATTATTCTAATAAATATCTAATTTATTTTCTTCTATATTTTTCATCAAATTTCAATCCACAATAAATATCCTATTCATATAACGAATCATTAGAAGGATTATTAAGTTCTTTAATAATTGAATATTGATAAATACTATATCATTAAATATTATTTCCAAGATATATGTATTTAGGATCAAAAATATGAGCTGCATAAAATAAAAGACAAGTTGATAATTTGAAATATGTAATTCAAATTTTTTGAATGCTACCTGAAATGCCGCTTAAAAAATAAAATAGACTACTGATAGATTAAAGTGAAGACTTGTTATAAGATTCTCAAGTTTTATACTAAAATAAGCAACCATCTGATTAGATTCAAAATAAGTTGTAAGATTTGTTAATCTTATTTCAACAAATAGAAAAACTAGTTTTTTTTATTATTGAAAAAAATCTAAATCTTGAACAAATGCTTTGGTATAAGTTGAAATAAAATTTGTATAGATTATAATAGTTCCTAATTATTATATATTTTATATAATTAAATAGATATTACCAATAGTTTCATTTTTCAGATCAACTTCATATTCAATTTTGTAAAAATCTTGCTAATATGAAATGTGTTCTTTAGTATAAAAAACTATTTTAAACTAACTATTTTATCATGTTTTATTTGATAATGGAATTTTACATAGTATTATAATACTATTCATATGTAAATAAGTTAGATATCGAGCTTTTTATATAGAAGATTTTACAAATGAATCCTTTACTTTAACCAAAAAATTCTTTAAAATTTAAAATTGTGAAAAATTGCGTCAAGTTTCACTAAAAAAAATTTAAAATTTAATATTTGTAATAATTAATAAATAATAATAATATAAAATTTTTAATTTAAATAACTTATCCAATTAGATTTAATATATGTGCAGGGTATATTAAATATATTAATTATAGTATAATTAGTTTTAAAATATCTTGATAATACTTCTTTATGTATGCAGCAGAATCAGAGAAAAATAAAAAGGAAGTTTTAAAGGAATATATAAAAAAATAATATAGGAAGAAGTGTCTGTGCAATTGTTAAATTATTAACTTATTTTAAAAAATTAATAGATACTAATTTAGTATCTAAACAATATGTAAAAAGGATATTAATTATACTTCATGCATAATCATCACTGCTTTAATCCATAATAATACAAATAAGTTTAGCATTAAAAATTATTTTTAATGAATTCACATGTTTATTAAAAACTCTGGGTAAGTATAATTGGCGTAAAGTTAGTGCTTGAGGAATTGCTCCTTCCTCTTTAAGGTGTTTTTTAAAAAAAAGTAAGTAATAAATTCACTTTTTCTAATGGAATGTTAGAATTAGCAAATACTTCTATTAAATCTTCTATTACTTCTTTTTTTGATTCTGAGGTAAGTAAGGATGTTTGTAATAAAATTTCAAAAATAGAAGCAATTGACTTAACATATCTTATATATTTAGTTAAGAGAAAACTTCAGGATAGATACTGTTTTAACACTTATGTAGATAAAATGACACCAATTCTTGCATATATTATTTTAGAAAAAAGTGTTAATAGAAAGAATAGCTTTTTGATAAATGGTCAACAAATCATATATGAAGATTTGAAATCTCATGAAATATTAATGCTTAAATCAGTTGACATTACTGAAAGTGAATTTTACATATACAGTATATTCTATACCTTTGGATTTGGCTTTTAATAAAAGCAGTTACTGATAGATCACTTTTCAAATTTTGAAATTTGATAATTAATCCTAAAGAATAGTTTTATTGGAAATAGTAAAAGAAGTTTAATATTGAATTTTGGGTCTTGTATATATGTTTATTTTTAATACTTAAAAATAGAATATTAAAATTAAAAGAACTACTATATAGAACATTATGTTCAAATTCATTTATAAATAAAGATGTAGAAATTTCTGATCACAATTCAGTTAAAATATAACATTTAAGAAATCAATATCTATCTAATAGTATTATTTATGATCATAATAATTCTATTTGTAAAATTTCACATTATGATAATTATATAGTTTATTTAAATACTGATGATTTTGCTTGTGATAGATTCATTTTTTTAATAATTAATGGTAAACAAAAAAAAAGAATTAAAATTATTGGTATTATAAACAAAATAAAGAAACAAGAAATCTAATAATCCACAAAAAATCAATGATAAAATAATCAAAGAAGAGTATAAAAAAGTTAAAAAAGTTGCAAAAAAGATTGGTATTAATAGTTGGTTATTATTAGTTTTATCAAATTGTAAGTGTTTGATTAATTCAGAGAGTTTGCAATCAGAATGTGTAATTGTTAGCAAAGATAATTTTACAAAATTTTATAGAGATGTATATTCATTTTGTGCTTAATTTACTACGAGGATTATAAAACTTTTCATTTTCTTTCCTTAATCTATTCATTAAAAAAAAACCTTTTTTACAGGTGATGATAAAATCTGTATTAATTTAGCAAATTTATGAGAATTGAAGGTTTTAGATAATATGAGAGAAACAATTGCAAATGAAATTTCAAATGAGCATAATAAAAGAAAATTTGATGATGTTAATAATCTATGTAAATGTATTAAAAAATTTCCAAAACTATCTTTAGATTGTATAAAGTTCTAAAAACTACAACATAAAATTTAATAACATTTACTAAGATCTATAATATGTTAATAAAACTTTGATATTGAATTTGTATTTTAGAACTGTATACATAATTTCTAATAAAATTGTATATTCTTTTTGATTTTTTTAAAAACAAATTTACATTTAGTTAATTAATTGCATATCTAATAAAATTAAATAAATAAGCATACAGTCATACCTCGATATAACGAAGTTGCCGATCCAGCTGATCAGGACTTCATTATAAGAATCTTTGTTAACGCTATAACGAATTATGCGAAATGTATAACGAATAATTCGTTATAGCGTTAACAAATTATTTGTTATAGTAGATGATTACTGATTTCATTACACAAATATAATTTTACTATTTCCAGAAATATTTTCACGT